TTATTCAAAATCAGCTTCTTATCTGCATTGTCTCATCAAGATCTTGGCCATGCAGTTAGCCTATTTATGAAATAAACCACTTTCTGTTTTCTGCTATATGTGCAACATTCCAGTATCTGGTTTTCTATAACTGTTTTTTTATAACATGCCAGTAGGGGACATTTTGAAAGTTCTAATTACCTATGAGTGGCTTAAGTCGAATTTCTTCCTCGTGATGAATTTAACTTTTTCAGGGCAAAGCAAATAATGCATTTAGATCCATTAATCCTAATTTTACTGCTTTGCAAAACATTAATTACGCTATTCTTGAAAGGGCGTGCAGAAATAATGCATGCCTGGTGATGGCATGCACACACAATTAAAATGTTTTATCATGGTTAATCCTTCCTTGTATAGACATATTCTCCCTTGTCTTATACAATTAAAAAAAAAAATTAAGACAGAAAAAAATAATTAGCAAGCACATCTCAATGTCTCACCCTTGTCTTAGGATTGGTATATTTAGCCAGTGTTTACAAAGGAAATAGATTGTTTCCAAAAGTGGGGATTAAATATAAATGCTAAGAACAGGGTCTCTACTACTACCTTCAGTTGAGCTGTTTGAAAATAAACTATAAGCAAATTCTACAATTCAGAAAAAGTCAGTAGTACATAGATAATGCAGGTGGGAACAATATATTTGAATAACCCCCTTATATGGAAAAGCAGCACTGATCCATCTTTTATGCTTCCTTTCTCACATTCTGAAAATGAAAACATTTTAAACATAAATCCCATTTTATAGCTTGCCGTTACTCATCTGTGTTTGTGGTGAGATGCAGATTCCGACTTGCACCGAATGGTCCCACTCCTAGGAGGAGCATTATTACCAGATGCTTTTTCTGAGCACTTCAATTTGGCAGCAAAATATAATTGAATCAGTGACCATTACCAGCTGCTTTACATCCATGTGTTTTCTCTTCCCTTTAGTAATGTAAAGTGGAGGATGACATGATACTGCTGCAGTCAGAGTTTTTCCACTTTGCTTTATTGGCTGCCTGTAATGAGGGTGGTAGAACCTGATGCATGATGATTTCAGGTCGTGTTAGTATGTTAGTAACTAAACAGCTGTTATTACAACTACTTTCATCCTGTCCCAAACTTCCATCCATCCATAACTATATGCACACAAAGATATGTGTGTAATATATGCACGCACATACACATCTTATACTACATATATTTTGTATAAATGTAGCTCAAGTCAGCCATTTTGAACAGCCTAGCCATAGTAACTTTTGGATATATTGAAGACATAGGTCTTCAATAATCTTTCTTCAAGAGGTTAAAAAAAAATTTAAAAATTGCTTATCACCTGTATGGATGGTATGTGTCTTCCTCAATCTTGGGTCCTCTACCAAAGGTCTGGGAGTTTGAGGTTCTGTGCAGTATCTTAGCTGTTCCAAGCATTGCACTCTTCTGGACAGAGAGCTCTGATGTGTTTCCTGGGATCTGTTGGAGCCACTCTTCCAATTTAGGAGTCACAGAACCCAAGTGCTCCTACCACCACTTGGACCACTTTGGCTTTTACTTTCCACATCCTCTCTAGCTCCTTCTTCAGGCCCTGGTACTTCTCCAGCTTCTCATACTCCTTCTTCCTGATGTTGCTGTCACTTAGCACTACTACATCTATCACCACTGCTGTCTTCTGGTCCTTGTCTACTACCATGATGTCTGGTTGATTGGCCAGTACCTGCCTGTCCATCTGGGTCTGGAGGTCCCACAGGATCTTAGCCCTGTTATTCTCCATGACCTTCTGTGGAATCTCCATCCGGACTTGGGAAGGTCTAGCCCATACACTGTGCAGATGTGCCCATACACAATGCCAGCTACTTGGTTGTGCCATTCAGTGTATGCTGTTCCTGCCTGCATTTTCCACCCTGCCACTATGTGTTGGACTGCCTCTGAGACCTCTCTGCAGTCTCCACCTTGGGTCCTGTCTAGTGTGGTAGACCTCTGCTTACAGTGGGGCAAAAAAGTATTTAGTCAGCCACCAATTGTGCAAGTCCTCCCACTTAAAAAGATGTCATTCTTTCCTTTACACGGATCAGTCATCCTGGTCCCTTTGCAGAAAAACAGCCCCAAAGCTCATTCTTTCCTTTACACGGATCAGTCATCCTGGTCCCTTTGCAGAAAAACAGCCCCAAAGCTCATTCTTTCCTTTACACGGATCAGTCATCCTGGTCCCTTTGCAGAAAAACAGCCCCAAAGCTCATTCTTTCCTTTACACGGATCAGTCATCCTGGTCCCTTTGCAGAAAAACAGCCCCAAAGCTCATTCTTTCCTTTACACGGATCAGTCATCCTGGTCCCTTTGCAGAAAAACAGCCCCAAAGCTCATTCTTTCCTTTACACGGATCAGTCATCCTGGTCCCTTTGCAGAAAAACAGCCCCAAAGCTCATTCTTTCCTTTACACGGATCAGTCATCCTGGTCCCTTTGCAGAAAAACAGCCCCAAAGCTCATTCTTTCCTTTACACGGATCAGTCATCCTGGTCCCTTTGCAGAAAAACAGCCCCAAAGCTCATTCTTTCCTTTACACGGATCAGTCATCCTGGTCCCTTTGCAGAAAAACAGCCCCAAAGCAAATTACAGGCCTCTCTGATCTTTTTAAGTGGGAGAACTTGCACAATTGGTGGCTGACTAAATACTTTTTTGCCCCACCGTATATGAAATATATTTTTTATAGCAACAGTCTTTTGGCTTGTGATTTAGTTATGGGACTAATGGAAGTTCCCTTTACATAGGTGATATTAGTTTACCAGCCTCAGCACCCTGCACTAATATGAATTGATTCTGCTTTGGTAGGACTTTCAGCATTGATTGATTCCCTTCCCTAACTTGCTCGCACTATCTGGGCAGATGGAATGTGTCTCAACTGTGAGGGAGGTCTGGTAGCTACACTGGAGTTATAATCTTGATTGGCCCATGTGTAATAGCCTTTTTGTGAAATAGGAAGATATTTGTTTTATAAGGAAACCCAGTTTATTTAAAGCCTTAGTTTAGATGCTGTAACTTCCTTCTTCCTTTGCTGCTTCTCCATGGCAGTATCTAACATGTTTGCGATCTTTCTTTAAATACAGCAGCTAACTAGATATAAGCAGTTGGGTGGGTTTTTATTTTCTAGTGAGAGAGTGAGATGGTAATTGTGCAGAAGAGACCACTTATCAGAGAAAGGCTTTCACAATCAAACCATTTTGCATGGTTGTGGTGCGTATACCACAACTTAATGGGCAAAAGAGCTGTATGTAGAAATATCTCTGATGATGACTTGGAAGCTTCAGCTATTGTAGAATTGCAGATGCTGCATTGTTTTCTGGTCCACATTCAATAGTGATGGTATTACAAATCCTAAGGGTAAGGTAAGGGTCCTCAGTATCTGAAGAAGCACTTCTTTCCTCAATAAAACTGCCTGAGAATTAAGATTTTATAAGGGTGTGCCTCTGTGCCTCACCATTCAAAATAGAACACTGTGTGGAGATGCAAAAGAAATCTTCTCAGCTGTGGCACCCAAGTAGAAAATGTATCCCCTTTCAGGCTTGCCCTAATATAATACTCATTTTAATGTCAAGTGTTGAATTAACTCTTCCCCCTAGTTTTTTAATCATAGTAATGTAGTGGTTAAGTCACCTGGCTAAAAACTGGGAAACTCTGAGTTCCAGTCCTTCCTTAGGCACAAAGCCCATTGGGTGACCTTGGGCTAGTCACTTTCTCTCTCAGCCCTAGGAAGCAGGCAATAGCAAACTACCTCTGAAATCTTGCCAAGAAAACTGCAGGGACTAGTCCAGTTAGTTGCCAGGAGTCAACACTCACTTGAAGGCACCCTCCCCCCCAAAAAACACATAATTTTTTAAAAACATTTTGCTTTGAGAGTGTACTATGAGGAACCTCATGGCCCATTTCCAAACCTCTGGAAGTGAACCCACATAGGAGGCATTGCATATATCCAGATCTTTGTTCAGTACAGTTGAAAGCTTCAGTAACAATCTAGTAATCCATTGAGGCTGCTGAGCATTGAGTGATTATATCTTAAATGTCCCTGGATCTAATCTAGTTTACACCTAGTTAAAACATTGGTGGATTGGTTAATCTTAACTAACGTTAGATCTGCCTCTTTACTGTCTTATTTTAAAGCAGAACTTTAAATTTATATGTATGCGTTATCCTTTTCACCATTATGGAGAAAAATCTATGTGAGTTGACACTGAGTTGATGACACTTAACTAATCAAGCAGTTTTTTGTTTCTTAGTTTACATTCTGGTTTCTGTTTATTTTATTGTTGTTTTTAATTGCTTTATGATATTTGATATATTCTTGTTTGACATTTCTTGTTGTTTATTGGCCTTTTTTGTAAACCACCATGAACTTGTTTTCCTGGTAGTCTGAGGTATATACATTTGATAAATAAAAAGAAAGAAGTCCACAGTGCAGAATTAAAACAGAAGTATAATGCCAAGTCAAGGTATCTGTTATCTGGAGATTGATTTAACTTGGTGTTTCTAAAGAAAGAAAGCAAAAGCTGTGTTTGGGAAACATGGTTTGGGAGAAGGCATGAGCAATCATGATTCGTTTGCCATCCCTTAACTCAGATTGAGCATTTGGGAAGAGTGGTAATTACATGGAGTTATTGAAGAGGTGTTATTGGGGCTAATTCTGTTTTTTGGATAATCAGAAGTGCACTGCTGGTTTCTTTCCAAAAGGAATCAGAAAAGGAGACAGAAAGATTTAAGTGAATTTCTGAATGTGTGTCTTAAAATAGTACCCTCTCCTATTGCTAATCCATAAACTGAGCAGAGTAGCTGGCAGAACACTTTAGGGATCGAATAAGATACAGCATGGAGTCTTAGAGCACTCAAATCTTATTCCATGTGGATCTCAAGGGGAAGCAGTTGCTGCTCGTGGCCTGACAACATGCTCTTTCTGTAAATGAAAACATCTTTGTAATCTCTCCCTTGCCTTTAGGGTTTTCTCATTCAGCATTTACCTTTGGTATCGAGAGCCATATCAGCCAGTCCAACATCAATGGTGCTCTGGTGCCCCCCGCTGCTTTGATTTCAATAATTCAAAAAGGCCTGCAGTATGTAGAGGCGGAAGTCAGTATTAATGAGGTAAGGCATTTGTTCATCTGCAGGAGCATTTCAATGTTTTTCTTGCGTTCTGGACTGTCTGTCTCTTCCCACTCTACCTACTCCTTGACTTTCCTTTTTCTGCCTTGTTTGTGGACCGCTCCTGTCATGTTAGATACTCTCTTCCTTGTGTCTTATTGTTGAATGCTTTATTGTTGAATGAGTTTGAAGCATTTCAGACACAGGTTCAGATCAGGGCAATTATTCATTGTAATGTTTTGGCTTACAGTGTTTGTATACAGGCTTGCACTTACCAAATGTAGTATTCCCTGCTTGTAGTGTGTTGATACATTTATCAAATATTAAAGGCTCTAGAAATTCAAAGATTTTTCAGTATGAAGATGAAGTACAGTTCAATAGTGTGTCTCATGCAAAGAGGAAATGTGTACTTTATTCTTTACCCAACATTAAAAAAAAAAAATCTGGGGGCACACTGCCATTATTATTATTATTACTACTAGTAGTAGTACTTCTAATACTATTATTATAGTTATTGCAACCAAGATCCACAGGGACAGGACTGTGACATCATCAGGTGGTTTTGGTAAGATTCATTAGCTTCCTTGGATATTTTTGGGTTTAAAATACTGCACTAAGTTAAAGATTGTCACTTCTTTCATACTTAATTCTTAGCCAAAAATGGTAGTGTATGACACCAGCTTTTTCAGCATCCCAATCTTGGGAGGCTTGAGGGGTTGATAAAAGATAACTTGATGTAATTGTCCTTCTGTTTGACTTCTACCATCAAACATGGAATCGGTTTTTAAACCCAGTGATATTTATTAATGCTGAGTCAAATTCCCATTTCCTGTCATGTGATGTGAGAATCCCAACTTGAAACCTTGAAGTTGCTGCATTGGGTCCCCAGCCAAGTCTTTATCAGGTTCCTTAACGCTGTATGGTTTGTTACTCTGTCCCTGTTTCACATAAGAAGCCTCTTTGATACCTCAGTTGAGGTTGAGGGGCAGAACGAATTATTTTCATCACCTTTGAATATTTGTCTACTTTCTTCTTTGAGAAACTCTTCACAGCTTTCATTGTTGCAGGAAGCAGGCGGGGGGGGGGGGGGGGGGGGG